AATGCCCTTGAGTATTTCTCAGCCCGTTGCAATACCTCTTTGCCAAACAACAAAAAAGGGGGCGGGGTTAATAGGTTTGTCTGCGAAATGTACCTTTTATGATTCAATCAAATGTAGATGAACGAATGATTTATATGTGTACACATCACTTAAATTATTCAATAAATCCTTTGTACTAAAGTATTAAAAAAGTAAAAGTTACATTTTTAATATAAAGGATTTGCAGTGGCCAATTGTTTTCATTGCATTTACTTGTAACTCTCTGATTGTAGAACCACGCAAAAACTGACAACAAATCTTTGCTGAGCCTACAAATAATCATAAATAAATAACATAATGAAAATAAATATATTGCAATACTCAAAACAGCAGCATCCAACAGGCTCTAATCCTACATGTCACTGCATGGACGCACGTTCCGTAGCGCGGAGATCATCATATCATTCTGTCTTGTATTACTTAACAACAACAAAAACGCCGGCTCCCGTCGTTCACTTAAAAGAGCCGGCTCTTTGAGCCGACTAGTTCGCGACCGACACATCACTATTGCAAATACATTTTTTAACCGAAGACGGACATGGATATGAGCCATGTGATTTGCAATATCGCAATAGGCTATGTCGTATCGCAATACTTAGCATTACGTAGAATCGCAATACTATCATATCGTGGTTAAGTATCGTGATAGTATCGTATCGTGGGGAGACTGGTGATTCCCAGGCAGACACTGAAAACTCTTAACAAGAACTTGAATAACTCCAATAATTCCCAAAATAGCAAACTAATCTTTACATTGCGCTTTACTCAGTTCAAACTGATAGAAAATTACAACTTAGAGTTTGGACACATATTCTTTCTATTTTACATTCCTTCTTAATAGTAATGAATTTAAAATAAACATCTTTATTATTATCTGCTCCTGTATGGATCATGGTGTCCCTCACCTCGACCGCTGGGCAGGTTTACCTGTGAAGCAGGGGAAAACAAACTTTAGCAACACATACAGTATTATCGTGGCACTAATAGCTCACAGAAACATAGGGAGGCAAACGTGCAACATGTAAAGGACAAGCATACATCCAAATTAAAAACAAGTTGCTAATATTTTCTGTGAGTAAAGCAACCATGTTGTGTGTTCCTCTCTGTGGAGCCATTTCAACAACATTGTGACAAATAACAGCTGTCTCCCACCCTCATCATACTGCACCTGTTTCCTCCCGTGAAACCAGACACACCTTTATATCATTGTTAGAAGTTCTCTACTGCACACATAGGAGGCACGCGTTTGTACAGTTACTTGCTTTAATTTGAGTTCTTATCCATAAATAACAACATTACTGTATTCATGTTGGTAGAAAATGAACATTAAAGGAACCTGCTTTTAGTCCTTCTACTCTTGTTAGCATTATTACTGCAATGTATTTCAAGTAATTGTATCATAAACAAATCCTAAAAAGAAGAAGAAGAAGGCATTAGTTGCTTCACAACATTAAAACAAATAAGCTTAATGCAAAAAAGTAAACATAATCATATTTATAAGCCCCTCAACTATACACAAAAAAACTACATTTTAAAACGTTAATATCCGCTTACATAAATTGTAAATAAAGCAGTTTTACCCAAAAGGAAGTCATGTTTCTCTGCAGACCTGGTCTCTCCTGAAAGCCTCTTCACTGTCTCTGATGCTCAGCTTATGACAGCCTCAGAGGTCTGTAAGAGGCATAAAAGGGACAATAGGATTGTTACTGCTTAGCCAAATACTGATGGTCTGATATCATGGCTAAATTGGACAGTGAATTTGTCTTTAAGCCACATATCGAGGCACAATGCCTGCTGGGTTGAAAGTATGACTAATCCATACATAACACTGAAAGCAGCTGGTATGCAGGCATGCTGCTTTACTGGATGAGAGGAGCCAAAGGATAACGCAACTCTCATCCAGAGCTGTTTGTGTCTGTACAAGAATTCAGTGACCTCTCTTCTTTCCCCAGAAGACCTCAGCTTAGTGTTTGATATCTTTACTGACTGATGTGAGGGGAAAATGCGCTCGAATCGCTTGACACTCATATTTCCTTTCTGGTCTATGCCAAGCCACCCTAAACTCGTGTTTAATCCTCAACAGCTGAAACACAGTCTCTCTGCATTAGGTAATGGAAGGGCAGCTCGCCCAGCACAAAATATCCTGGAGTGACACAGAACAGGGTACAGCATTGAAAACCTATGGACATGTGTCATGGAAACAATATTTCTGATTCTGAACTTGTCTTTTTGTGGCAGAGACAGAGTTGGACAAATGTAAATATTAACAAACTGAGATATGGGTTTTAAAAAAAATGTATGACACTCTTTATGATGCCATTTTTAAAGGATATTTTAAATGACATACTTTAGCATATAGTGCAGTATATATGACAATACAATACTGACTGACTATTAGGGGGCAGCAACAATCTGACACAGAACAATCAGGCTTAGAGCAGCTGTCTGACTGAACAATACCAAACTCATTATAACAAAACATGGATAATCTTTAGTATTTTATTGTTTCATGGCATTTCTTTAACATTTATGTATGGTTGTTTGGTTTTATTTAATGTGTATGCATGTGTGTATAGACAGAGAAATGTATAGTTTTTAGGTAACACTTTATATTAAGGTACACAAATTAACCATCAACTAGTCGTTAATTAACATGCATATTAGCAGTATAATGGCTCTTTATTAGTCATTATAAAACACTTATTAATGCCTTATTCTACATGACCATATTCTACAAGTAAAAAGCCATTAGTTGAGAGTTTGTCCTCAATAACCCTCTAATTAGTGCTTATTTATTGCAAGTAAGGAAGTTGTTGTACATGAGTTTTGGTCTTAATATGCGCTGCTCAATATGGGCCTAATAAGGCAGTAGTAGCACAAGAATACTAATTCTCCCATAATAACACATTGACCAAATATGATCTATTCTTATGGAACAAGACATTAAACCTATAATGTTAATTGTGTCTACAATAACTCAAAATTTATGGTATTTATATCTTATAATATGTTTTGGGGTATTGACAGTTCAGCTACCAAATCTGCCACTAATTTTCCCTATGCAACATGAAGAGTAAAAGGGTCAATTCCGTCGGAAAGCAATGACTGTAAATGTAAGCGTGAGCCTTACACTTAAACTGTAAGGATTAGTAACATGTATTTTGTTTATGTGATGACATGTGGAGATGTTTAAACTCAATGAGAAAATGTGTTAGCATTCGCGCTATTTTTTGCGATAGCATTCGCGCTAGCTTTAGCATACACGGTAGCGTTAGCCATAATAGCCTGTAAGCATAGATATAAACACTAGGTCGCTCATGGGAGATTTTCCAGCGTAGCGTGACTGGCCGCCATCTTGCAACAGTCAACAGTTACTCTGATTCGCGTTATGGTAGCTGTTGTAAGGTGAGTGATCTGCACAAAAATACTCTTAACTCACTGAAATCTTGACTGATTTACAAACGGTTTGGTTTATTATAAACATTATTAGCATGGCTATGATACAGGATGCTTGGACATGTTGAAA